GAGTAGGGAAAACTCTTGCTCCTGCCGAGAATCGCCCCTCGGCCTTCTAGCCTGTAGCCCGTCTCTGCTTTCCATACACATGACAGTAACCTGAAATACAGTCGAATGAGCCCAGAAGGCATGGTGACGTCATAAAGAAGGAAATTAGACGAAAAGGGAGGCGGTTGTGTCTCGTAACTTCAGTGGCATGCCATTCATACGGAGTCCCGTAAACATGGCGGAGGGTATGCGAGACAGTTTAGTTCTTGTTTGTGTTGTTTCGACTGTGACCACAGAACATATTTTTTCAATCAACAACAAAAATTTGTTTAATATCAGTAGTCAGTAGACATAAAAAATGTGCCAGATACAATTTACCCGAATATCCACATTTAACAATGTTTCCATTTGTGATTTTGAAATTTCTGCTCTTATGTACGAGTATATGTAAGTAAGTTGTGTAACAGTGAGTTAGAGTTAATAGGTCGCGAATGAGCGAGCAATCTTTTGGTTCTAATAAAAGATGGCTTTCTTCAAATCAGATGGCCTGTAACAAATAGGATTCCTGCACCAATATTGTCACTTTGCCGTTGGAACCAGAAGTTTAATTTCCGTCTTCATGTCCATATCGTGAAGCAGACGGATCTGGTCCACCTCCTCACTCTCCGTTTATTTAAATAAATTTTAAAATAATCTTCCCATTTAGTCCTGCATTTCCAAGTGATCACTTGTATTCAGGATTTCCGACAAAAATTACATGCGCATTTCTCATCTCTCACATACCTCTTGAATTTTCCGCTCTATTGAATACAAAACTTACCTTTCGGGTCGTCACACCTTCCAAAGATACAATTCAAGTTGCGCATTCCACTGCCGTTACATAGTTGTAGCTTAATTTTAAGTAGGATGGAATTTACTCGGAGCGACTGAAGAAAGCCACAAAATATACTAATCAAGGGAGTCTGTGTCACTGTCAGGATTTGAACCGCAAGTCTCGAAAATATGAAGCAAGGGTTTACCAAATCAGCTTGTCTGTGTCAATATTATTTCGTATAGTGTCACGTGTTTATGGTTCCGTGATTAATAATAACGGGTTCTGCATTAGATGATTGGATTTATTAACACTTTATGCAATCAACTCATACTTAACAAGCAATACAGCGCTATCGCTGATTTAAACAATTTACAGTTCAGCTTTGCACACGAACTAGGATTCTCAGTCTTCGCTAGTCGTCTCCTTTCAACGGAATTAAAACAGTCACACTGTGACAAAATCTTCTAATCATACGCTAAGTCTTCACAGGCTGACTTATAATTGTTCTCTAACTACTAACTTCGGGTGGCAATCCTTTGCCGACAACTGACTCTCTCTCTCAAATTGTCTCCCTTATAAAGTCGCGGTACGGACCACGCAGCACAGAAAACACAGCCCCTCTATTGTTTTACAGGTGTGTTACCATGCAGTTGCCTAGCAATAGTCTCGGCGCGGACCACATAGAAAACACCTTTCATTCTTAAAAATGCGCGTTTACTGGTTCGTTACCCAGCAACGGATGTCCGTCTGTGGTTGAGAGCGTAACTTCGGAAATGTTTTTACGGAGCCGTTGCCTAGCAATGATGATATGCATCAAAATGTGGAATAAAAATATATAAGAACAGAGTGACCTCAAACGGCACTGCATTCATGCCGAATCCGAGGGACGTCCGAAAACTGATTCCAAAGTTGAGAGATCAGAGGTTTTTACAGCGGTGACAATAAAAAGACGTGACTTTGTGCAGTGTGGTTCATATTCATCAGTGTTTCGAAGGAACGTGTTTATCTTCAGGATTGAAAAGTACACCAAACGTGAACAGTGTGGTACGAATATAAGGGAAGGGATTTACGGGGTAGGAGTCCTGAGTGGGCTGAAGAAGGAGACAGTATGTTCTTCCGGAATATCCGCAAACGCCTACTGGACTACGCGACGTCACCGAACAGGTTGAGCAAAAGACACTTACGTTTGGGTGGTGTAACAATTTATAATTATTAGTACATTTCTAGGCAACGGAAATTTAACACGCTACCACGTCAGTGAATCAACGCGGAATAATAGAGGAAACATGAAAATCATGGAAACGATGGTTTCTGTGCGGTTAGTATTGGAACTTGGCGGCGGTGAAGCGTACGACCGTTCAAGTAACCAGACTGCCGTTGTTGTGGAAGCTACTAGAAATAGAGCATGAACTGCTATACTGAGCCTGGACTGACAGAGTCCCTGTATATATATTTTATATACATTTATTAACATGTTTAACATGTAAAATGTAAATATCCTTTATATTATGACAAATGACTTATCATTGCAGACAATGCCTCTGACAGAAGACAGACGCGTCCTCTCGTCAGAGTGGTTACCCCACAATAACAAGACAGTAACTGTCAAACAGCAATAAATATCTGGTCATAAGCCCCAGATTGGGCTCGACACCAAGACTGACTGACTGACTGACTGTCCGTCAGTCGCAATGTGACTTTGATTTTGGTAATAAATGCGAGGTATACGGCTAATTCGATTCAACTCCTTAGTTTATGATGCAGTGCTGTAGGCAAGCTGGCAGCGTATGACGTCACGCACTGATAAGATGTCTCCTGGTATTAGACTGCTGCATATATGAGAGCGTACAGGAAAAGGAATTGGTTAGAAGATAATTATAAAAATGTACCCAAACGACAGCGTTAATATATAGAAACACATAAAAACGCATACGTTGAGTACATGCGTAACTACAGAAAACGCAAAGCTCAGAAAAAAAAACACCACAAGCATCTACGTCAACTGACCCTACACCAACTCTAATTATGTATAATTACAATCAAGAAAATGAGTACTTTAAAAATTTTGCATGTGCGTCCATTGGGAAGGCTGCAGCCAATTTCATTGCGTTTTCAACGTTAAACCGGGGAACCAAGGTTCCCCGGGCACTTTTTGTCCCACCAGTCTGAGAATCGTGGGACAAACATCTGAAAATATGTGTATGTTAAACAGTTCTCCAGTTGTTATAAGAGGACAGACGGACAGACGCGACGCACTTGTGCTGTTTTTTCGTTGCTAATGCCAGTTATTTATTGACGTTGCCGAGGGAATGACATCTTCGCATCGAATATGGCGGAAAAAAAATGTAGCGTCACCTAGTGCTTCCTCGAACTTCAGTTGGGACCCAAGAGTGAATATAGGTCCTCCACTAAACAAGTTCCTCAGTCAGTTCTCCCAAACGCCCATCTTAATGTTATCCTTCATCTGTTAGTTCGGCCCACTGCAGCCGCTAGGCTTCGCTGACGTATAAGCGTTACAAGTCGGCTTGCAGACGTCGCGACGCAGGCCCTCACTGTGTGTCTGTAGCAGCAGGTCCAGGCTGAACACTCTGCGCGCACTTACGAACTGTTCTGAAGCGTCTGCCATATTGTTGTCAAGTCACAAGAATATACTGTATGTAAAAATGCATGGCAACAATGGCCAAGCAGGAGAGCCTTCTTATCTGGAGGCGGAAGACTCAGCAGGAACACTGATATGAAATTGAATCGTGTTCGCTTTATGTCTGTCCTTATTGCTGTGGCATATTTGCTCAAAGCAAAAAATGTGGAGCCATAAAAACAGCCGTTGCTATCGAACGGCTCAAACAACATTCGTTTCTAGGCAACGGTCGCGAAACGAACAACGGAACAACGTTCTTTGCTAGGCAGCAGATTCTTAATATGCAGATGTACCAGAGCCGCAACTGAGTAACGGCTTCTCAAACAAGCGTGAGCCATAGAAACAAGTGAACAGCAACAGAGGAATGGTGTTTCTCTGCGGTCCTTGCTGAGATATTATAACCGGACGGTTTGGGGCAACCAAATATTTGCAAGAATAGGATGGTGGAAGGAAGCCGCATTTCAGAGGGGACTTGAGCTCGGAAGTAGAGGAATAGCCATTGTTAAAAGCGTTACCAGGAAACATACAGTAACAGACTGAGAACACTAGTGTGTGTGCTCCAGCGATGTGTAAAACACGGAAATCAGGGATGGCGCTATAATTAAGTGTAATTAAAAGTTGTGTGTTAAAGTGGCCAATAAATCCAATATCCAATCTAAAGCCCCGCCCAGAGTCACTCTAACACGTGATATTACGTTTCGTTAATTCAGTATGTGGACAGGAATATCTTGCAACTTTATTTCAGCTTGGACTTGATTACTGGTATACACTTTATCGACAAACTACCGAAATTAATCTGCACGGCAAGGCAGTTCCGCTACATTTCACTACTTAATTTTCAGCGATCCTGTTTCCAAACTGGGATAAAATTACCTTGCCTTCCAAGCGGTTAATTTGCAGTTGTCTGACATTATCGTATATTTGAAAGTCTTCTGAGACTCCCGAGATTGCGGCTTGTGCGTTCAAGTTTCTGATATTCTTGTTACGCCATTAAACATGTGAGATATTAATGTCAAGAAAATCTCTGGGGACGGACAAGCCGCGTTCATTCCAACGATTTTACTGTCAGTTCGTCTTCTACCCATGAGCCGAGTGGTACACTGACTGCACATTACGGTCCCTGGAAACGGGACGAACTGAACCAGATTCTGGGGCATTCCTCATACAGTGGCACGGCATTCTGTACGTGTCACACTCCACAGCACAGTCAGTCAGAGTCAGAGTTACTTTACGACTGGCGGGTTACTGCCAATAAATTGGTCTGGGCGACAATCCTCTTGAGACTCGCGACCAGTAACTTTATTTTCCAACTGAACACTTGCTACTATAGTCCTTGTGTAACATCCTCTCTGACGAGAGGACGAATCTGTTGTTTACATTTGCTGCTAGTTCTCCTCAGCGCAGTCATTCTCAGGTCAGTCCCACGGGACTCGTGACCATATTTTACTGTCTCATATTCGAGATTCCCCCAGACCTGGAGGAGCAGGTCCCCATATTTATATCCCCCAGGAACAGGGTGGCCCGGTTATACCCCCAGACACTGAGTTCCCTTTTCTTCGCTTCCTACAGCTCTTAGATCTACGGTGGAGGGATTGGACCCCGCCTCCACGCGGGACGGGACGGAAGAAACAAAGGCAGCACAGAGAGGCTTGCAGAACTGGTGTAAGTAGCCATGCAACAGACCTCGGAGATGGAGGCCCTGTGTTTCTGCAGAACGTTGGTGACCACCTACCAGACTAAATGGCGTCACACCTCAGCAGACCTCAGTCTAAAGGAATACAGGATGTTTCAGTAAACGAAGCGTGGCAGTGTTATGCCCTAAGCAATGGCAAGTCAGTCAGTGAAGTTTCATATCTTGTACGAAACATCCGGGGTTCGATTCGTGCAACATCTTCGCTGTCACTTCCACAATGACTATGGGGCACTGTACCGGGAGCATTCCTTGTAGAGGTAAGGGCGGTCGGAACATGAAGCTGGCAAGTGAGCTCTTCATGTCACGGCCTTTGAGGCGGTATGGGCTTCCACTTTTCACGTCCATATTGTGGTGTTTTCGATTATGACACCCTGTAGTCTGGTAGGAGGGTATCAATGTTCCCAGCGCCATAATTCCTCCATCTTGAGTCCGAAACGTTGGCGTCTGCGTACCAGACTACACGGTAACATAACCCACAGAAGGCCACAATGTCACTCTTCACGGCATTGGAAACCTCAGATCTCACAATGGTCGCCCAAATGCTGCGGCAACTTCTCTGACAGCACTGCAAAGCATGTTGCCTAATCAGACTCGAGCAGGCGAGTGTCAGGAGGCCCTCTAACTGCGCAAGTACTTGATTCGATGGAAGTCTGGAGCGCTTAGCTTCTTCTTCAGAAAAATAATGGCATACACTCTGAAGTAGGTTTTGGCCACCTGCTTGCTCACCTGCCTGTTTTGCTGGCGGCAGGCTTAGAAATCCTGATGAGGTGACTCCTTCCGTTCCGTGCACAGGGTGATCATTGAAGTGCGTTGTCAACCACGAAACGAAACGGGCGGCAGATGCACGTGTTTCGAACAACGGACGACTCATCCAGCGTGTTTTGTTTTGTATAGGATCTGAGGTTACGAAGAATTCTCTCTTCTGTGAAATAACACCATGCAGTCTGTGTAAAGTCAACCGACGTTTCGGAGGAACATATCGTCTCCATCATCAGTGGCTAAGAATAAGCCGGACAAGAAACTGGCTTGAAGCAGGTGACAAGCAGTGCTCTGTTTGCTTCTTGCTTCATGCTTGTTTTTTTTTTTTTTTTTACATATATTCCGTTACTTCAGTAAACTTCGACAAGTTCATGCTGCGCAACATCCCATATTGTAGTGAGAGAGATAGAGCTAACTCTGTAACAGGCCGTGGAGGCCCATAGGGTTCTGAGACGTCGAAGCTTCCACATGTTTTAGACAGTCGGCTCACAGATGGCAGCAAGGTTGTCAGCCTTATGCGGCGGCCATCCTTTACCTTTAGGAAGATTCCTGGTACTCATTTTTGTTAGAGGCTGAGTCGACCATAGGGCCACAGTTCGGTTGGAAGGATTGAGTAAATCGAAAAATCTAATATTAGTGGCTACAAGCTGTATCTAAAATGACTGTTTCCGCTGACTCGGAACTAAACTCAGCTCGTTCAGTAACCAGGCAAGCCCTGGTTAGAAATGAAGACGCCCAACTCGAAGCCCCAGGGTGTGATAACGTGCTGCCTGATCACGGCCATCACATACTTGAGGGGGCCGGTGATAGATGGGTATGAAACAATGGCGAAATGTTGTTTAGCGAGAGAAAGCCGAAGAAGCCCGCAGAAAGTGATGGTCCATTGCCACTTGGTCCACCACAAATTCCACGTGACCTCACCACGGAGTGAGGGCGAGGCTGCGCCCTGAGAAGCCAGGGCCTGGCCGCCTGAGTTGTGGCGCGGCGGCATATTGTGACGTGGCCGAAAGTACAGACTGTCCAACAGCGAAACATGCGTAGTAACTAGTCACTACATCAGCGATCGAGGTACATGGTAGCTTAGTTGATTGAGGCGCTATACTAGAAGCTGGAAGGTCGCGGGTTCGAGTCCCGATGAGGTGAAATGTTTCAATTGACCTAATCCTTCCAGCCCTAGGGTCGACTAAGCCTCTAACAGAAATGAGTACCAGGAATCTTCCTGGGGTGTAAAAGATGGCCGGCGTGTAAGGCTGACAACATTACCGCTCTCTGTTGGCCAATTATGTAGAAGATATTGGAGCCTCAACCCCTTACAAACCTATGGGCCTTCACGGCTTTTACATCTGTGATCATCAGGGCCCTGATTTTGATGACATGTCATCTTTTTTTCCTTGTATCCCATGCGAGGCTCTTAATACATTTTTAGTGTTAACGTCATTTTTTCATTTTAGGGGTAATTTTTTTGTACATTTTTGGGCTTTTAAGGGTATTCCTTGTCATTTTTAGCCATTTTAGGGAATCCTTCGTATGTTTTCTGAAATGTGAATAATATGGAAGCAAAGTGTTCATTCTCTTTCTCCTAAGCGCTCTCTACAAAGGCCATACTATACAGTAATAGGTTGTAGTCCTTTCCGTTCGTTTCGCGGAAGTGCTGACAATACAGATCATAAAACAGGGTAAGGCGATGACTACTCACACTGCGGCTCTTTGTACAAAGCAATTTGCTTAGTTACACACATTTCTAGTCGGAATCTCTTGCTTCATATGACGTTGTTGTTCAATAAAACTCCTTCTGTCTTCAGTTCCTCGCCCTTGACCGTACAGAAAAAGATACAGTTGACAAAAGGTTCTCGGTGAGAAAAGTTCAGTTCTGTGTTGCGCTAGAGTGATTAATTTTATCACGATGCCAAAAGCAAAGCCAACTAAATCGTGTCATTTAAAGCAATTTGTAGCTGAGTTTGGAGATGATATATTTTCAACTGACGGTTACATTTTATCCTGCAAGATGTGTGACACAAAAGTGGCGGCAGAAAAAGATTCACGGTACATGGATAGCTTTACCTTTACCTTACAGCTTACGTGTTTCATTAGAGATTGCTGGCACTGTAAGAGTTCGGACGCTGGCCTGACCACTCAGCCTCATAACCCTTTTCGGCGTACGTATATACACAACAGTTGTGACGGTGAGATGGAAACTCTGCACTTACGCAGTTTCCGGTCACCGTAGCAACGAACAGTCGTACGTTAACACGCGCGTAGTAGGTCACGAACGAGGAAACAGCCTTTTATTTCAGTTAATCATGCCTATTCTGTTAGTATTTACAAAATCGTTGGTGTAAATCAAAGGTAAATTTGCGTCTGTGCTTAATTAAATAAGCACTACACTTTGAAGACGTATGGGGGAGTGGATGTATAGATCCAAGCATTTTCAAACTCTACGCTAGTTAGAGGTGAGTGGTCAGGTACATGCGCCGGCCGCTTTAGCCGCGGGGAAAGCGCTCATTGGATAGGTTTTGTGCACCCCAGAAGCGGTTCGGACGATGTGGAGAAGAGAAAGATCTTGCCCCTACTACGACTCGAACTCCGGTCAGGCGGACGTCCATCCAGTAACTAGTCGCCGTACCTATTGCGGTACCCCGGCTTCTCTAACGTTCATGTGGGTATATGACGTGTAGTGTACAATGTAAAGGTGACGGTTTGTTACAGAATATTTGTGCGTGTTATTCCTATGAGATGGCGTTAAGTGTGGCGCCTGCGCATCATTCGGTAGCATGTAGGACTGGAGAAGAATACGGGGGACAGAAGGGGAAATAAGTTGTACGGAATTTCATGTCACAGAGGCTGAGGCTTTGTGCTGAATTTCCCGACGCATGTTACAGTCGTATATTCCGTGTATTTGTTTGCAGCATATTTACCGAAGATATCAGTAGATCAGGTGCTGTAGTGTCGAATATTTGAATTATTTACTTGCTTACATACTTATGGAGCTCTGGCCGCGCCATAGCTCAAGCGGTTAGTAGCTGACTTCCCACTGCGGCGGCCAGGGTTCGATCCCGGGTCTGGTCAAGTGGGATTTGTGGTGGGCAAAGTGGCGCCTAGGCGGGTTTTCTCCGAGTACTTCGGTATCCTCTGCCAATCTTCATTCCACCAAAAGCTCCATCATCATAATCACCCAGGGTAGGTACAACAGGCCAATCAGTGGCCGCCATGCCGAGTGGACCCAATTGGACCCCCCCCCCCCCACTAAGCGAATTAAAAATAATTACTTATGGAGCTGAGCCCTTCTTGAGGATCCGCCAATTCTGCAGCCACTCAAGAATTTCCCACCATTTTATGGAACCTGAAGGTTCATTACCGTCTTCACAAGAGTCCTCCACTGGTCCCTGTCCAGAGCCAAACCAATGCTATCTCTTTAAGATTCATTTCAATATTGTTCGCCCACCTACGCCTTGGTCTTCCCAGTGGTCTCTTTACTTCTGGCTTTCCCACCAATATCCTATATGCATTCCTGTCCTCTCCCATTCGTGCTACATGCCCTGCCCACCTCATCCTCCTTGACTTGATCGCTCTAATTATACTTGGATAAGAGCTCATTATGCAGTTTTCTTTCTATGCATTTTAGTAACAATGTTATTTCTTACGGCGAGGAGTTGTAGCCGCACGCCCAAACCCAGATTTGGATTACCACGTCTTGTCTGCTGTCCGCGACTGCTTATTCAGTATAGTCACAGCTTCCCCCCAACCCTAGAGGGCGCCTCCTCCATCCGCAACCTGAAGACACGCCATGCCGTCGTGACAAGGGACCCACCTAACATGGATATTTGTATCATTCGTGAATAATATTGTCACGAGTTAGAGTGACTCTCGATGGGGATTTGGATTGGTGACTCGATTTATTGACAGCTTATACACTCACGACTCGTGACTACACTTTACAGACCACTGACCCACACACACACACACACACAGACTAGTGCCCTCAGTCTGTTACAGTCTCCACTAGCAACGGCTCACATCCAGTGACTAACTCCTAGGCAGGCTACCCAGTAGTCGTCTCTTCACAGCCTCACTCTCAGCTAACCATTCCATCCAGGATTTTGCTGCTGGCCCTCGCCAGCACAGCCGTTCTCGGTATCGGGCCCCGTCGGGACCAATGACATATTCTTGTACTCTGCAGACTTGTTTCGAAATGGGGCATCCTCTTCGACGAGT